CGCCCCCGCCCCCGCCCCCTTTACCTCCCCCTCCCCCAGGGCCTTGGAGCTGGTGGCCGACGTGGCCGACTGCCGGCCGGTCGTCCGCAGGAAGACGTGCTGCTGCTTCCGGTGCTCGTCGCAGGTGAGGAACTTCTCCTGCTCCGCGTGGAACAGCCGCACTTGTTGTCGCTCCACTTCATGAACAGCACGACCTTCCAGCTGGTGTTGCAGTTGACGGAATTGACCTGGAGGAGAAGCAGTTCCCTGCTCACATCCCTCTCAGCCCCAGACCCCGAGGGCCGACACCCTAAGGTCACATGCTGTGCGGTAGGAGCGTCAGGCAGGCGAGGCCCGCATGAACCAATCATGGTGTCTGCTCCACGGGACCGCGGGCGCCAGGCTCCTGCTCCCCTGGAACCACAGCCCCTCCTTTCTCCAGGCCTCTTCTGCCGCCAGAGAGGAAAGGCCCGGAAAACACGCGCTCACAAAGGGACGGACTGCACGGTAAGACAGCGTCAATGTCTGCATGGAAATGCCAGCGACACACAAGCGTCTGCGGGCACAGGGACACCCGTGAGAACCTCCAGGCCCCAGCCATGCCCTCCACACAGGAGCGCCCATCGCGCCCATTCCAGAGACAGGAGCACTGATGCCCGGGAGTCTGGGTGACGGACCCGCAGCCACAGAGCTGGGGGCAGACTTGGGATTCGAACCCACATCTATCTGACTCAAGAGCTGTGTCCTCAACCACTAGACAGCTATTTATGTCACTGCTGTCCCTGTCCTGGGTCCTGTGACTGCCCGCTTAGAGGGGAAGGAGATGCATAGCCAGAAGCAAGCACCGCCCCGCGGGACTGCTGGGGGCGCAGCGTGTCCCTCTGAGAAATTAGCGAAGGGCACTCTCTTAAGAAGACAAACTAGAAAACGGTGTCCCTTCGGCCAGCACATTCAGTCAGGGGTCCTGTCTACGGCTTAACCCACGGGGAACCGGTCCCCAGTGACATAGGCTCCGTTCACTGTGCCCAGGGGTGACGACCAGCCCCACCCCCACCCACCGCGCAGCCCGGCACAGCCTCCGGGTCAGCCCTGACCGGGCCTCGGTTC